CGATCGGATTGAATTCTGAGCCTGTAGTTAGGTGTTTCAGCCGTTTCCAGTTTTTTTTAGAAAGCTTGTAATTTGGTGCCCCGCGAAATGCCATGATGAGAAATCGTTAATGTCAGCACATAGGGATACCGAGGACCACCAATTAGAGCTGGGAAACATTAAGATACTTGGTGGATCAAGGAGCCGAAGGGCGCGTGAGTTCATCGAGGCCTGGCATTCGGGCCAGGTCTACCCAAAGTACACAAAAATGGGATATCATCGTGGCATTACCCGGGGCACCGAATTTCACGCTTTCTAAAGAACTCTAGAACCGACTCAGAAAATTCAATCCAATCGGCAGACTAATTCCTTGGCAAACTCAGAAGAATAACAATAGAAAGGGACAAGATAATGGTCTCCTTTTATGTTACAGCCTTGTTTACATCAATTGATACCAAGCTGGCAAGGCAAACAATGATGACCCCGCTGGAACAACACGGAACGGTAAATACAAACAGCAGCATTGGAGTCACACAAATGATGGAGTTGCTTGATTTCCGTCTCACCACACAATTCACTTTCAACGGCCAAACTTACAAACAGATAATAGGCACGTCGATGAGATCGCCGACCTCTGCACTGGTTGCCGAGGCAGTGATACAAGCACTGGGACAAAAGGCACTGCCGGTCGTAGGGCCCAACTTTTGGATACGCTACGTGGATAATACTTTTGTTATCTTCAAACGGACTAGCTAATCAGCAATATTTTCTCTGGCACCCAATTCACCAAAGAGGAGGAGGACAATAACCAGTTGCCGTTCTTGAACGTGCCCGTTTTAAGACATGATTCTGGCCTCCCCTGCAAACAACAGTCTATCGAAAAGCGACACACACCGATTAGATTCTGAACTACTGCAGTAACCATCCGGCCGTGTACAAGCGCAGTTGTTTAAGCACCCTCTTCAAACGGACCCAAACACTGTTGCACGTCGCAGCTGAGCAACGCGGAGGAGGACCATCTCTTTAACATGTTGTAGCGAAATTCCTACCCCCGAAGTTTTATTCTACGTTGCCTGATGTCGAGGAAGCAACCACAACTCGCATCCACAAGTGTAACGAGATTGTCTTGTTATTTGACGGCGCGGGTTCGGGCCTGCGTAGGGACAGAGCGACCCTCGCAGTATCTTTAGCCCACGTGCGGCCGGTGGAGGTTGCGCGGCAGCGAAGCGTCGGTACTGCGTACCGGCGTAATGCTGCTGCGTTTCTGCTAATGCTGATGCTGAGGTATTTCCCACCTCTGGCTAACGTGTTTAATGATGATGATGATAGCGAGGAGTCCAAATATGCAAGTGATGTTTGGGATTCTGTTTGGACAATTGCGAAACTGGAGAGTGACATTGGTTTCCTTAATTAACAATGGTAACCTATTCCGTGTGAAGGCGTATTTGTGGAAATGAAGTTGGATCGAGTGCTAGATCGTGCTCTAAGCAGGATGATCGAATAGCATCAGGCTTGTCTGGGTTACCGATCATTATGAACTTGTTTAAAGAACCAGTCAGTTTTAACCTCTCGGTTATTTACCAACTTAAACTGGAACATGAGATTGGTCATGTGTATGTTCAACCACAATGGTTCCCGTCTGCGCCACTAGCGTTTTCCGCAATAGTTTAGTACACATACTTTGCACCCGCTCTACCTTTTTGCTGTCAATCCTGTGCCAACTAGCGAGCACAAATGAACAGCGTTGCAATATTGGCCGAGCGCAGAACTTGTAGGGGGCTAGCCTTGATTTAATGAGTAGCGTCGATTCGTAACTACGACCGATGATTGATCGATCTTTAGCTGACCTATAGCTCGCTTGTTCGGTGAAGTTAGGTGAGCTGGAGCATTATGTTCCCGGGTTGCTTACTTAGTGCAGTTTGCATGGAGTAATCCGTGTAATTTTAGCGCGGCTGTACATTGCAGTGTTGAGATAACCTTGTACTTCGCAGGTGAGAAATCCATTTCCACAGATTGCTACAGCCTTCCAGCGCTTTGGGATCGATCTGAACACTTGGAATTTTGTTGTCCGAGTAGGCTAAATCCAATGAAAAGACCACTTTGATGTCATTCGCGAGTAGCAATTGTTTACCATGAGTGAAGGTGTCGAATACGTCATTAATATGGAAAGGGACCAGTAATGGGTCCAAGACACTGCCTTGAAACACACCACTAGTTATTTGTCTTTATTCTGATTCCTTGTTACCCAGTCGTATTGACTGTGCGATTAGCAAAATATGATGTGAACCATTCAATAATTACTTGATGATACCGAACAATCTGAGTTTGGTCAATAGGCCAGAGTGTAGAACGGTCAAAAGCTATTTTCCTTTCAAGGAAGGTGATAATTAAGGTATGACCTGAGTAGGTCTTACGTGTCACGATATGCAAGAACTCAGACTGGCGTATCTGGCAAATTTTAGCTGATAAAAACCCATGTTGGAGCCTCTAGTAAGGCTACGTGGTAGCAGAAAGTCCAGCATTATCCTCTTGACTATCCTCTCCATCACCCTCGATGCGAACGTCGTGTGACTAATGGGGCGGTACTTGTTAATCTCGGTGGCAGCCACTTTTATGTCTTGGTACGATGATCGCATGTTTCCATGCAGTGCAGAAGGCGCTGCATTTCATCGACATAGTACGTGTTAAGTCCTAAGAGTGGGATGTCCGAACCACCTGGTTTCAGCACAGCAAAAAGTAGGCCAGCAGGACCAGGATAATAAGTCAGCTTGAGCGGCTTGATCACATAAGTCAAAGTCAATACTGGGCAGCTCGTCGGTGAGTCTATTTATGTCACTTACTGGTGTCGCATTGACGTCATTGAGTCGCATAACTGTCTGTTGATGTATTACCACAGACCATTTGTTCGAATTTTTTGCCTAGACGTTGTGTACAACCCCATCCCCTTTTCCGTTGTTCGTAACCTGTGTTGATGTGTCACTCGGTCATGATTTTCTTGGCTTGCATAATAATGCTGAGAAATCATTCAGTGGGAGGCTTGGCACCTTTTTACTGTGTGAATTAACCGCAGCCAATATCGAATCACCATTGTTTGCTAACCTGTCCTCCGAGTTCAAGCCGTTCGTTACAAGGTCACATCGACATTCAGTTGGTGATAAACATTTTACAAAAGCTAAAGATAGAGACCACTGAACGACGGCATCAATAATTATTCAACACTCCTTGACGAGCACAAACGCGGGTTACCAGAAACGGCCACCATAAGACGGATGATTACTGAATGCATTCAGACATTCAACCGTTTCACATTACTATACCCTTATCCACTAACACGAACTGATGAACTGATGGAAACTTAATCGCTGTCTTATACCTTATATTGGATCTGAAAGTTGCCTATCATCAGATCCTCATTGCTGAGCACGATAAACCATTTTTTTCGCTTTTGAAGCATTCGGAAACCTTTCCCAATTTTGCCATATTACATTCGGGGTCACTAATGGTGTGGCTTATTTCCAGTGTATTATCGATATAACATTGGAAACGGGAGGCTTATTTCACGCATTTGCCTTATGTCGACAACCGTGCGGTGTGCAACTATGGACTATCACGATCAAATCTCCAGAAGTTCGTAGCAGCAGTTGCTGAATACGGTATAACCTTTAACGGTACTATAACTGTCCCAGCCTGTGAGGAAATTCATTTGCGTATGCTATGGCTCTGAGGTCTTCAGTATCCTCATTAACGACCTGCCATCCGAATTGCAGACGGGCTACTTACTCTATGCAGATGGCCTGAAGTTGTGGATGTACGTACCCAGTCTAACTGATGCTGCTAAATCACGGGCGACGCTCGGTGTGCTCATCGATGGTCGGTAATGTGTCAGTTTCTTACACATCGTAATGAATTCTCTGTTCTCCTAATCGGTGTTTCTGAACCGTTTGGGGCGTACCATATTGTTTATCAGCGGGGCTCCTTTTTATGATGTCCTGATTTGATTTGACATCGGGGATAATCAGTCCGAGGTCTTTTTGGGTGATATTTGTGAGCAAAAGCTTATATTTAGACCTTATCAATCAACATCCGCCAGTTATCGGAAATCAGCATGCATGACTTAAGTTCTGTACTCTGCGATCCCCTTCGCGTGGTACTCGACATTTTCTCATTGCGCTATTCAGAGACAACGGAGTTTCAGTTGTCGGTCAAACCGATGTAAGTATTGCTCCGAGCTCCCACAGTGAGGCTTCTCTGGTCGCTAGATCTTAATCATTAGCTGGATGTTCGCATTCAGGTTGAATGGCTAGTTCTAAGCACCGAAGCCGCGTGGGACAATAAGTGTCTGTTTGTAATTTCTGCCTACGCCCGCACAAACTGTAACACTGACTCAGTGAAAGACGACTTCTATCGTCAACCGGCAGACTTGTTCACGGAGGAAGTACGGATGCTGTGATATGCTGGCTGGCAATCTGCACACTGAAGTAGGGAAACTGCTTAATAATGAGCTTCACTTGAGCGGTCAATGCGATGGATGCTCCCGTGAGCGTTAGCTGCACCTATGTGTAGATGCTCGTCTCTTTCTCGCGAGCACTAATTTCTGACACAGTACTATCTGGAGGGTGATGGGGCCCACAGCTACTAAGGAGGCATTCCCCAATCCGCAACCTGGAGACACGCACGATAGCGTACAGCTCCGCTAATGGAAATAAGAAAACTGTTAGACTTTGACTGCAACAATGCTGCATTACACGGCTGTTTTCGCACTTGTACTCGTAAGCAGGACTACGACTCGAGTCCGGGACCTTTGAGATGTCTGCCGAAACCACTATCCCTTAACCACTGAGTCGGAGGACGGAGCTTCAACCTTATATCTACCACTGCTTATTTTTAGCCTTGTACTTTCTTTAGAGACCTCTTGAACACTCACGTTTTCTCTTTTACCAACCAGTTCCTTGTCTTAAGGCCCAGTTATTTGAACTTCATGCATTCGTGGACATGTTTTCTCACCCTCTTCATGGTTTTAGATGTTTTCGGGTGTCTTTGTCTTTCGCGTTGGAGCCTTGTACAATTCTGGTTCTCCTGTGTCAATTACACCACTGTAAGTATCCAGAGCATATGGATATCAGAGCTTGACATTGTATTGCATTTTTACTCATCTATGCAACACTTCGAAGCAAACTGATGACCAGCAGGCGAGTGACTCTACTTTGCATTATCGCACGCAGAGTTTTGCTTTTGTCGTACGTTTCCTTGGATGATCTTACCACGTATCAGCTAATCGTTCGTCAGGTGAAGCTGCGAAAGTATTTTGACTCTAAGTAGCGCTTATCTCCCACCACACTTGTTAGTGTTGGCCGATTGTCGCTATACTCATAATCATTATACACGTCAGCTAGAGGTGGGAAACACAGCTACTGTGCCGCAATACATAAATGAAGAAGGAAAATAAATACAAAAGTTGCATGCCAGCTGAGCTACCAGCAAAGGATAGGCATCGTTACGGTATGCTACCAGCCGGCTACTAGGATGGACCTTACCGTGGTGCGATGGTTTGTGTGCCTCAGTGATCCATTGAGCTATACTGGGTCGTGCTTTTGCACCTTCAGAGCCACTCATACCAGATTGGTCAATGGTTAGAGGCCAGACAAACTCAGCCTCCTGGTCCTCCAGTTTGGGGGTTGGAAAGAGAATGGCTCCTTATTCCTTAAAACGGACTCCTTGTAGCCTAATGCCAAACCCGCTGCCTTGCGGACAGGTTTTTGAACCAAAGGCTTCGGTTGAGAACCCCAATCGTTCTCCTGTCTAGGCCTGGGCAACCTGACAGTATCCTGCCCACGCAATACAATGAATCTCTCTTCAAACAAATTTCTGATGCTCTGTCCACCGCAGAGGATAATCAACGGTGCCCTATCTGCTGCATCGAGCAGGGTGGATAGGGGTTTGGATGCTACTGCTCAAGCCTTCCCATCTTCTTATTCCCCTTCTTGCGCTTTGTCACCCTTATCGTCCCGTTCCAGCTTTACTTTTATCCCCCCTGTTTTCAACCCCCCAATTCTCGGCCCTCCCCCACCTTGCTTCAATAGTCGCTTGTCTTTTAGTTTCAACTCACAGGTGAACGCAGAGCGTCATTCCTGCACTGTCAACAGGCCTATGTCCAAGCAAGCGGACCATTCCAGTTCATCGGCTTCTATTTGGAGCCCTCGATCCTTCTTCAGACTGGCATGCCTCATTGTTCGCACATTGCTTCAGATCGGTCAACAGGCAGCACTTGCTCGAACATTAGAGACCCTCTCGATCGATATCTGCTGCTTATCGGAGACGCGCCTGCAAGACTCGAGCTCTGTACTCACTCTGCGATCCCCTTCAGGTGACACTGGCAGCACTTTCTCATTGCGCCTATCCGGTGAGGATGCAGCTTCGAACACCGGCCAAGCTGATGTTGGTATTGCAGTGAGTCCCCGGACTGAATCTGCTCTGGTTGATTGGATTCCAATCAGTAGCCGGATGTGTGCGGTCCGATTGGCTGGCTCGTTCAACGCTTCGAAGTCGCGTGGGACTAACAGGCGTTTATTCATCATCGCTGCCTATGCACCGACAAACTGTAGCGATGACTCGGTAAAAGACGACTTCTATCGCCAACTGAACGAACTGCTTCGCCACAGAAGAAGCTCGGACACTGTAGTGCTGGCCGGGGATCTGAACGCTCAAGTTGGAAAATTATCCACAGATGAGCTGCATCTGGGCGGCAAACATGGTGTAGGCTCGCGTAATGATAACGGTGAGCCGTTACTTCATTTGTGTGAAGATGCTCGCTTATTTCTTGCGAGCACTAACTTCCGACACAGCACCCGCCGGAGGGTGACTTGGCGCCCACTAGCCTCCAACCTGGCCTTGGACGCAAATCGATCACATTGCGATAAGTTACCGATGGAGAGGCTGCGTCCAGAACTGTCGCTCGATTTGGAGCACAGGTGTTGACACCGATCATGCACTTGTATGTGCTGACATGCGGATGCGCTTTGGCGGCCGCCCGCGACGATGTTGTGACCGCATTGACACCGGCAGACTGGCGAAGCCAGCTGTTCTGAATGCCTATCAAATTACGCTGTCATCCGAGTTGGATAAACGCTCACTGGATGCAACTGAAGCTCACTGGTCTCATATTCAAGAGGCCTTACTAGCAGCAGGCAAATCCTCATGTGGTATGTCTAATCGCCAACATGGACGTTGGGTCTCTTCGCAGTCTCTGGAAGTAATAGATGCTCGCCTGCATATTCCGGCTGGAAGCGAACACAATGAAACTCGCAAAGAGCTCCAGGTGAAACTCCGTGCTAGCCTGAGGAGAGACCGCGATTCCTGGTGGTCTCGTCGTGCAACAGAGATGGAAGTGGCCGCTGCCCTTGGTAACCATCGTGAGTTATTCCGTCTGATACGGGAAACGGGCAGCAAGAGACCTGGTGTTAGTGAAACTATATGTGACGAGAGTGGACAGCATATCCACAACTTATCAAAACGCTTGGAACGTTGGGCTGAGCACTTTGAAAGGCAATTTAATCGGTCGGAATTGTTAGATTTCTCGCCGACCAGTGATCGTCCTGCTCCGTGGGCTGTTCCTTTGGATCCACCCTCTCGCTCATAAATCGAACGTCAGATCAAACTGTTGAAGTTAAATAAAGCCGCGGAACCTGATGACCTTCCTCCAGCCCTCTTCAAATTCGGGGGACCTGCTCTTGTGGATGATTTACACGCGTTACTAGTGAAACTGTGGGGGCAGGAAACTGTCCCAACCGACTGAAGCCGCTCCATCATAGTCCCAATTTTCAAAGGAGGCTCACGATCGGAATGCGGCAATCATAGAGGAATCAGTCTGATCTCCACCGCCTCCAAAATCCTTCACAGACTGACTAGCGCTCCTGAAAGCCAGATTCGCGAAGAGCAATCCGGGTTTCGTCCGGGCCGTGGCTGCATCGACCACATCTTCACTTTGCGTCAGTTGTTAGAGCACCGTCACACATATTGGCGGCCCACCGTTGTCGTGTTCTTCGATATCAAAGGTGCATTCGATTCGGTGGATAGACATGCACTTTGGGACTGTCTACTCAGGTAAGGTGTACCTGAGAAATATGTGAATATTATCCGAGCATTATATGCGCGTAGCTCGCGCAGAGTGAGGGCTTACGGCAAGTTGTCGCCACCGTTCAATATCTCCAGCGGTGTGAGACAAGGATGCCCGTTGTCACCTTTCCTCTTCAACTTCGCTATTGACGAAGTCATGGAGATTGCATTTACAGGACATGACTTAGAAGGTGTGGAGCTACTCCCAGGAGTATGCTGATGATATTACCCTGATCTGTGACAGCTCACAAACGTGCCAAGCGGCACTGGACAGATTAGCACTAGCTGTCCGTCACTTCGACCTTTGCTTTGCACTATGGAAGTGCAAAGCGTTCCTCCAAGGTTGGCCTGGACCGCCTCCTACACTTACCCTTGGTGAGGATCAGCTAGAAGTTTATTCGGAAATTCAACTACCTGGGAAGTTGTATCAGCGCCCGTGGGATTGAAGATGAAATCACGAATCGTATAGCAAAAGCTCAGGGCGCTTTTGCTAACCTTCATCACTTGTGGTGCCGGCACGACATCGCTCTTGCCTTGAAGGGTAGAGTGTACAATGCAGCAATACGTTCGACCCTACTGTATGGTTGTGAAACCTGGCCGCTTAAAGCAGCGGGCCTGAAGAGGCTAGTTACGTTCGACCACCGGTGCCTTCGTAATTTAGCTCACATATGGTGGGAACACCGCGTGAGCAACGAGCGTGTTCGACGCCTTGTTTATGGCACAGGAAAAGGAACTGAACCGCTCAGCACCGTTATTTCACGCATCAGGCTCCGATGGCTCGGCCACGTGTTACGCATGCCAGCCCACTGACTCCCGCGACGTGCGTTGTTTGCGCACCGTGGGTGTGGATGGAAGAAGAGGAGGGGTGGCCAAGCGATGACTTGGTTCAGAGGAATGAAGGCTCTCACTTCTAAGTTGGCCTCGATTGGAGCGTCTCGGCTCCCTGATTGGGGTCTGAAAGACGATGAACACGTTTGGTTGGACACACTTGCTAATATGGCTAGGAGCCGACCTCAGTGGCATTCGTGCTGTGAGGTTCTTTGTTTACCCCATCCCTCTTACCCTCCCCTTCCAACCACGATCTCATTATTTAGCCTTATATAATTTTGCATAGTAATTTTTTTGTTTTGGTGCACAGCAGCCGGCTGGTAGCTTACCGGAACGATGCCCATCCGTTACCGGTAGCTCAGCTGGCTTGCACCAGTTGCAGTTTTTTCTCCGTTTTTCTATGTTTTGCGGCACAGTAGCTGGGGTGTTCCCCACCTTTAGCTAATGTGTATGATGATGATGATGATTGCTACTAGGCAAACAGTAAAATTATGTTTTGCGCTAAGAAATGAAATCGTAGGTGGAGGGGTGGCTAAAAGGGATGGGGAGGGACAAAGTAACTCACAACCGGAACACGATTGAGGCCGTCTCCTTGCCACGTCAGCAAGTGTATGTAGCCAAACGTGTTCACCGTCTTTTGGACCTGAACCAGGGAGCCGTGACGCTCCAACCGAGGCCAGCACAGAAGTGAGGGCCTTCATTCCTCTGGACCAAGTCATCGCTTGGCCACCCCTCCTCTTCTTCCATCCACATCGCCGGTGAGCAAACAACGCTCATCGTGGAAGTCGATGGGCTCGTATGCGCAACATTTGACCCAGCCATCGGAGCCTGGTGCGTGAAATGAGGGTGTGAGTTTCTTTGTCCTACCCCATCCCTTTTAGCCTTCTCCTCCAACCACGATCTCATTATTTAGCCTTACATAATTTTGCACAATAACGTTTTTGGGCGCACAGCAGCCGGCTGGTAGCCTACCGGAACGATGTCCATCCGTTACCGGTAGCTCAGCCAGCTTGCACCAGTTGCATTTTTTCTCCTTTTTTTCTACGTATTGCGGCACAGTTGCACCTCTAGCTAACGTGTATGATGATGATGATGATGCTGAGCAGTTCAGTTACTTTTCCTGTGCCGTAAACAAGGCGTCGAACACGCTCGTTA